ATTAATTAGTTGGGCTGTCTATTCCATGTATTCGGATAGCGCTAATTACAATATTGGCTACATTTTTTTCTCTAGGTGGCATATTATCACCCGGGATTTAATGATTAAAATTAACTCTTAAGCTCACAGATACGGGTGTTCTGTACATCACGCCGTGCTGGAATGAAGCTGAGCAGCCGCACTTTTAATCGTCACTCTGGCTGACGATCGCTGCAGTGTTTAAGATATCTGCAGTACGCCACGTTTGCCAAGTAGGCGTGGCGGCCGTTTATTCTGTGCTTTACCATTTTCCGTGCAGGCAACTACCGGGTAGAATGACGACGGCAGTAAGACCACAAGTTCGATGTACGATCGATGATGAGCTACGGAACTACCTGAAGTCGAAATATAAATTTTCGGGTCATTTCGATACCAGATGGCTTTTTCACGCGTTGACAAAAAAATTGTAGTGGCTTCGGTATCGCAGGTGCAACCTTTTGGACCTGCACGAAGTCGGCTTTGCGCTGGACAGGACCTATTTCAATGACGTGATTTCTTTTATCTCGCTGCAGCGCGGTGTTGTGCGTTTTTCTCCAGCGCTTGACGTGGCAACATACTTCATCTCTCAGCGACGACACTTCGGGTCTTTTTGCACAGCTCCCCTGAATAACGTTCCATCACTCGTGTATCAATCCATCGAACGAGGGGCTATGATCGCGTACTCGGCGAAGTCCATCAAATGACGATTGGCTGATAATGCGAGTGATTCACAGCTGTCACCCTTCGCACGATCATTCCCTGCGGAATGCGTACACAAATTCGATACTGGCGCTCGACCGTGCTGCCTGCTAAAGTAGAAGCGATGTGGTTCGTTTTATTTATCAGATTGTAACTCGGTTTGCCCAATCCTGGGTGGCCTCCGTCCGCAGGCAATTACATGGACGAAAGCTTCAAAAAATAAAGTCTACTCGTCTATAACGCTTTGAAAAATCAACAACGTAGTCGGAGAGCCCAGAGAACATGACTTTAAATTAGTCTCTACCGGGACGGATTTAGTAGAATTAAAAGACATAGAGAATTCGAGCGAATTGATCAACTGGCGTGCAGACTCTCGATCGGCTCAAAATAAACAGCTATTTTAAACGGGACTAACGGCAAAAGACGTATCTTACCCCTGTACGTAGTGTGTAAAGGGTCTAATTTGTTCTATTAATTAAGACTTATGAACCTGTTCTGGTGCTTAAAGACTTTATATCCGACATTTTCTCAGTAAAGGTATCTTGGCTTATACGAAAGGACATATGAACATGTCTAGATATTTCGCATGACTCTTCAAGCGTTTCTGGGCATTGCTCCGAAGGCAATAACATAGCTGCTACAGATGAGTGACGATCCTTACGAAACAAGGTATAAAGCCTTTTTTGCTGCCTGCAAATTTTGACGTATCACTGTTGCGTCGACTCTTCATGTCATTCGGATCCAGTAGCTGCGCCGCTAATAAACTTAAGACTACCGAACCAAGCACACCCCGCCATTGCAAGCAATCATATAAAGCTTGCGGTAACACGCTTCCGCAACGCATCATACCATCTTGGAGATGTAGCGAAGGGAATTTTTTATGCACGTGTGCGGTCAGCTCTTGCTGACACTCTACTACTATACGATGTAGCGAGCCAGCTTATCCGCTGAAGAGGGAACATCTGATAGCATATCATATCTCTTTTTCCTCGGCATTGGTGTCTAAGAAACTCTTAGGCCCTGTGGATCTGGATCTGTCATTTTTAAGGTTCATTATCAAAAGAACACAGAGTGCAATATGTGAGTGGCAAGCATGGCCTACCTGTAAGCAATTACTACCAACAACATAGCCGTATAGAAAGGTCTGGTCTATTGTCTACGTCAGATCATAAAAAGCGGATGCTCACCATTGCATGTTGTTAAAACTAGCGCTATTGTGCTATCCTAATTCATAACTTATTGATCCCCACGCGGGAACATTTAGGGTCGCTGGTTCTAGAAGCTCGGGACTTAGCTGACGATATCGCCGTCGCCTGCTGGGGTCATCACTACCGTGATTATAATCAGATGGCAGATCGCGTGGTCAACATTTCAATGAACACTTCCGCATATAATCAATTGCACACTCCGTCGGGTCGACTTATCGTCAAGAGACTGCTTCATTCCTCGGTAACGATACCGATTTTTGGTTTGATACCTCAGTGGCCGGAAACGCAGATCTATGTGGACCATCAATAGCTGCAAAGGGCAAAACCTCTCAAGCCAATATTTTTCGCAGCGAAGATCAGTTGTCCTAGGCTAGGTACTTTCTTTGGAAAGCTGGTGGACTTCAACCCAGTAGTTCGATTGCTGGTAAGAAAGATGCAGCGAGTTGCTAGTTTAACCTGAATATAAACCGCCTTCTAACTCAATTCTGTAAGATTAATGTTCAATTATCGAGTAACGACAAAACCTGCTGTTGTTTATCTGACCGTTCTGTCTTATTAATGTTCATTAGTCGAATAATGACAACACGTGGTTTGTGTCATTCGAGGATCATTATGACAGGTTTCATCGTCAGACGGTTTCAGCCCTGAAGCTCGACATGCGCAGATACCTCGTATCGCGTAACTACCGCTCGTCATGTCGGCACCCAAGGAGGTCGACCGTCGAGCCACTTGTTTTGGTGTCGGGTGATCATATAATTCAATCAATTGTAATGACGCCTTTGTCATGTCGCAGCTGCTATCACTATTGAAACATATGTACAAACAACCGCACTTGCCGTAAACAGCGAACGAATTTACCCGCGTTCAGCCGTATGCATGGCGCCGTCCGAAGAATTCGACTCATCCCAGATTGCTCTTATGCGATTAAAATCACCACTTTGTTAAAACTATCACTAATCAATATGAGATTAGGTCAATAAACTCGTTTTGAAATCGATAAGAGTCAGTCTACAAACCAACAAAGTAACGTTTAACCGATCACAAATGAATTATTTGACCAAATTTGAGGAGCCTTAATGCTGCACATGCTGCTATCAACCAAAACCGATACGTGTCAGATCGCAGTCTGAAGTCACAGTCGACACACCGATGCTTACACGACGGGAAACTACGCCAGAGCAAAGCGTGTGTTACTGTATGTAAAGTAAACGACGACATTTGGTTTGTGTTACCTGCGGGAGGACGCTGTCTCAAGAAACGGAACGATTGTGTGGTCGTACAGCGATATAGATTATGCAATTTATTAAAATATCGCTCAGTCTGTGACTGGTTTTGCGCTTTAATTATACGATTAAAGTTTCGATTCAAGCGTGAGACACGAGAAACGGTAACGGACGATACATGCAAGCCAAAGTTGCTTGCGGATAGTATGTGCGTCGAACAATTCGTATGGGCTCGAAAACTTATTGACGAGCTGAAAATAAATCATCTGTCAGGAGAATTACGTATGGATGAATAGAGCACACTTACGATCTGCTCAAGGGTCGGAATTATGACGGGGTTATACGATACGCAAATAATAGTACCAAGATTGCAAAAATGGTCGAGTGCGGAAAAATTTCGGTCAAGTCTGTTCCCACAGAAGATAACTTTGCCGACTATTACAAAGGCTCTCAGACCGCAACGTTTCGAAATGTTGAGATAGCGACTTGGGGTAAGAAATGTTGAAACTGTACTTGCTGTGATGATTAAAAAGGCAGGAAGACATAAGGTAAGCTTTAGGGGAGTATAGGCGATTTTTTAGGAATATTTATGGACAAGGGAAGCTCACGTTTACGTCTTACGGCTTGGTCTTGAACGAGGAGACAGGATATGACCTTCGGCTTCAAGTGTATACGATCTTGCACTTAATAAATTAATTTAATGAGATTGACGGGTTCGGCAAGAGTCACGGCGATTAAAAGGTTTTTCGTGGAAACGTTCCTTCTCGTGTATCAAGCACGTTGATTTTGTGTTATCAATGAAAGCTAGACAGCGAATATCACTTTGCGTCACTTTGCCATTCGTCAGACACATACAACTTGTTCCTCTTCTCTTTTTTGCTCGTCAAAGTCTGTGCTTTGCCACAATTTAATATTTAAAGAGCGCTAAATTTGTTAACGTGCACAGCGGTTATCCTTTGAAACGATAACATGGTACTAAAAAATGGCACTGTCGTCGATGGTCAAGTGAAGTCTCTGTAATCGCCGCAAGTGTTTTTGTCGATATCACTGACAGTCCTTACGACGAAGTTCATCGAATATACATTGCTAGCCAGCTCTAAAATCTGAGTACCATACCTCGTGCAAAGAGAAGAACTTGTGCGATGACAGGCCAATTTGTTACAAATGCGCTGCTATCATGAGTTGCCACGAGCAGAGAAGGCGATTCATCATGAGAGTAGGTAATTAAAGTGAAAATATGCAGTCTCTTGTTTTTTCGTACGTTGTATGCACGCCTTACTATGGGTCTATGGAAGCACCGGCTACTAAATACTCTGACACGTGGAAGACTCGGTGGCGAAATCATCGGGTGAATCGATAGTACACTGAAATTACAAGCGAAGCCTAGAAAGATCTACCGTGGTGTCTCACGGGCAGTAAATAGAAGATGCGCGCACAAAGATGCAAGCTTTGCAGATTGTAAAGCTCTGAATGCCTTGCAAAAATTGCTGGGAATGCAAGGTAAGATCAACGCAAAGACATAGCGAGATAGAAAATATATAATGGCGAATCTAAGTAAGGAAAGCCTTCATTCAGTCGGTCGAAGATACGAATTGGAAATACACAATCAATTGTTTAGCTCGCGAACATGAATCGGCAAGAAAGACATAAACTTATTGTTTTCAGATCCATTCTTTGCAAACCTGAGCCTTGAGCAGACACACTACGGGACCACATGCCGGAATCGAACAAGCCACGCAGACATCGAAAATGATTACATTCACATTATTGACACGCACGCACGCACCCACACTACACTCCGCTTCCTCTGAGGATGCCTACTCCCGAAGCAAGTTGCCACACCTGCGGGCGATCAAACGGCCACGCCGTTGGGCAAGCCTTCAATCGTACTCTTCATCGACGCGCGCACATCAATGGCCTCGAAGGTCCAATCCGATATCACCTTCGGGTTGACTTGGATATCGTACACTTTCTCCGCCGTGCCAGTGAGACCGGAGACCATTAAACGAGTGATCTGCACCTGACTCGTGGGCGGACCCCTGTACCTGCCCAATCCCCTGTCGTAGTTCGCGTGGAGAGAGACCGCGTTCCTTACGTTCTGAACCTTATTGTTGATGAACTTGACGTCAGCGATGAGTCCCTTGAGACCAATGATGGTCTTAATGCGGAAACCGTTGACGCTGTTGACGATCGTGTTGCCCGAGATTGTTAGGCCCCGCACCGTGGTAGATGCGTCGACAGCGTTGCCACCAAGAGACCCGATGGAAATACCGTGCGTATTGCAGCAGTAGTTGTTGCTAAAGACGGTGTTGGTGCTCGACTGCATAGCAAGACAGTCGTCCTGGTTGTAGATCGTGTTGCCGGTGATCGTGACCCCGTCGTTCTTAGACAAGTTGAACCCATCTGTGTTCTTGGCGATGCCATTGCCCGCTCTCGAGTCGATCGTGAGACCAGAGAGAATCGTGTTCTTGCACGTGACGAGGCTGAACGTACGGAAGGGCATGTTCTTGACCGTGAACCCGGACACTTTCGAGCTGATGACGCTTTGGAGACGGAAGAAGACGGGGCGCAAGATGGACGGACCGTATTTCCAGTACCAAGGTCCTTATCCGTCGAGGACGCCCGATCCCTTCACGGTGAGATCCGTTCCGCTGACCATAACGAGCGGACCGGCCCACATTTTCGTTCCGAACGTCGTGGTGCCTTTGAACTCAATGACGGCACCTCTCTTCGTCTTCGTCAGGTCCAGCGTCACACCAGGCGGTACACGGAGCGAATCGACGGTGACGGAGCTGCACGCCGAAATGTCAGTCCCTTGCTCCTGCACGGGACTCTGTTGCTCCTGCAAGGGACTCTGTTGCTCCTGCACGGGACTCTGTTTCGCCGCGCACTTGCAGATTTGCGGCATTGAAAACTTTTATGGCTACTATGCAGTCTGACCCTCTCACTCAGACAGTCTATGTGACTGTCGGCATGATAGGTCTTCGTAATAGAATTTCCAGGACCGAGGTCTTTCGGGTCCATCCCTCACTTTTAAGGAGGCTGTTAGCATCGCTCAAAATGCTGAGCTCAACTTCAGGTCGGCCAGACTTGGTTGGAATGGGTACAACCCAAGCTTTGCAAAGGAGACCTCTGCGAGCACCTCGGCTTAATGAAAGCCAGAAACGATGAATCCCAGCCATGCTGAAGATGAAGGTGAAGCGGAGCTTCGTGTTGCAGAGCAACGAAAGGAAGTGAGACGCTTTTATATGTGCAGAAGCACTAAACACTTGCGTCCCACTTGTCCTTTGCGTAAGCAACAACCGACTGCTATGGGCCGAAACCCCAGCCACAACCAGAAACGTGGTATGGCACGGGGAAGCGTCGACACCCAGTATGTGCGGGCGCCCTACTGGGGTAGAACTGAGCTCTGTTGCTTCTTTACGAGGTTGAGTGAAACAGGGCTTAGCCCCATCGATCTATGTGCCCGCCAGCACAGAGCGTGGATACAAGCCTGACTTGTTAGTCGCCGATGCGACAGTTAAAGGCTTTGAGAAGCATTGGTCGATCCTAATCGACTCCGGAGCATCTTGCAATTATACTCGATTTCGTTCCCTTAGGGGAAGTCAGCAATATACTGAAGCGCTCAAAGCGCATGAAGGTGATTCGATCACCGTTCGTTAAGCGACTGGTAGTCGCCTCACGGTGTCTAACTTCCGTTGAACCTTTGTGTAAAGTTTTTGGACTTTAATGGCATTAAACGCTTTCTTGCCCTCTATTTGAATATAAAATTTGATCTCATCCTAGGTATGGCTTGGCCTCAACGCCATGAGCCATAAATTGATTGGAGGTCTAAGACCTTAGGCGCCAAGCGCAATGATCCTATCAAAGCTTTGGAGAGTCATGAATACACCTTCGCTAGGCAACAAAAGCGATCTTGAAGCGATCCATCGACGGAAGTTGTTTATGTGCTGGACATTGGTATGTCAGAGTTAATTAACTCCAATGTCAATGACATAAAGAAGTAGCGGAGCTCTTCTACCGTAGGTGAAGAGGGTTGTACTCCGTTGAGTGATACTCGTTGTGATACTGAGTCACTGCATGATGACGGCATGGTTGGCCTAGGACCGAGACATCAAGAATGTAAAGCCTTTGATGTGAGTGGGGTGGCACGAGAAATTCTACCGAGTGAAGGCGGCCGAGGTGGCACCTCACTGAATGTCGGTAATGACATTGTTGGCAAGACGCCAAATTTTTTCAGAATTAGACCCGGATGCTGTATGTGAAGTGATACGTGTAGATACAATGGGTGAAGTGTCTAAGTTACGTAACTCCCCACAAGAATTTGCTTAAGACATGAGCTCTCGTATATAGCGTGCTAAGATAAATAGCAACCACAGGGACCCTACTCTCCAGGCCTCTAGGAGGCGTAAGGTTTCTTTGAGGAAACAATCTCAGCGTAGGATGGCAACTGCTAAGCGCCCAACTTCTAAGAATTCACGAAGTGATAATAGTAATAATACACTATATACACTTGTCAATGGGTTGACTGTCCAGATTAATGGCAATTTTAGTCTTGAGACTCTTTCTTCTTTGGATACTATCGTTGAACTAGACGAAAGGTCTGACGGCGAATTTAGCCAAGTCTTACATGCAGGAGAATTATCCGAGTTAGTGGTCATTCGACCGGATATTGAGTTGAACCCATCCTCGTTATTGGACGAGTCTATCCTTGAGGACACAAAGGCGGCATTAGATGCCCGTAGTGGATCTTCGATCCTCAAGGATCCTCTTGATCCGTTCTATCCTTTGGTAAAGGAATTTCAGGACGTGGTGTATCACACACCACCGTCAGTCTTACCTTCGATAGAGGTGTTCGTCATGAAATTGACTTGGTCCTGGAACTAAATACTGCGTAACACGGCAGTGGCCTTTATTGAAGGAACACTGTGACGTCATTGACGACTTCTTTCGTGCAAAGCACGCGGCAGGATAGGTACGTGAGAGCAAATCTTCCCCATTCTACACCGACCTTCTGTGTCAAAAAGCCCAATGGAAAGTGGCGCATTGTTCATGCTTACAATAAGCTTAATGCGGTCACCATCCCGGCTCAGACACCAATCCCGAGAAAGGATGTTCCTCACAGCAATATGGTGGGATGTACAATGTAAAGTGCGGTTGACTTAGTCATTAATTATTACCAATTGCTCATGCGGGAGAGGGATATTTCGCCGACATCGGTTAGCATTCCGAGCGGTATGCTATGGGACTGGGTTGTTATGCCGCAAGGGTTGTCAAATGCCCCGGCTACATTCAATAGTCTTGTGATAAAATTGTTCAGGCCTCATTAAGGTTACGCAAAGACGTAATTTGATACATCTATATCCATAATCGTGCTATTAACGGTCGGTCGGATGTGGAAAATCACATTGACCATTTACGAGCGATGTTCGAGTGCATGCGCACAAATAAGTGGTATGCCAACGCATCCAAGTGCATCTTTGGTGCAGAAGAGTACCTATTTTAGGGTGCTTTATTAATTAGCGAGGCCTTAGAGCGGATCCCGCTACGGTAAAGCCATAATCGATTGGTCGGTTACAAAGAACCAAAAGGACTTACGTAAGTGGCTTGGCCTTGCCAATTACTTGCACAAGTACAGTGCGAATTACGCAGATATGGCTCGGCCATTATCTCATCCCTTTAAAAAGGATGTGGAATGGTGCTGTACTAGCACCGAGCATGTTGTTGTTCAAGCAGTAAAGGAGAGTCTCCTTCATGCGCCAATCTTGGCTTTGCCTGATCTTGATCGATAGTTCAGTGTCGTCTGTGACGCATCTGAATTTGGAATAGACAGCGCTCTGTTACAGACAGATTCTGATGGACGGGAACGCGTAATTGCGTTTGAGTCTCGGCAGCTGAAGGCTGCAGAAAAGAACTATCCTGTTCATGACAAAGAGCTACTTTCAATGAAGTATGCTCTCGTCAAATTCAGAGTTCATCTTCTTGGCCCTAAGCCGTTTGCGATCTGTACAGATCATGCGTCACTACGCACTGCTACCCAGTCGCCTCACTTTTATTAGAGAATGGATCGTTGGCTTTTATTCTTTGCCAAGTACAACTTCGAGGTGAAGTATAAGCCGGGCAAGCAGAATGCTTTGGCTGATGCATTGTCACGCTAACCTGACTATGAGCTTGCTCATGATACGACTCTGTCGTCGTCGGTCACTGACGTCACTCGTTCGGCATTTGTCAAGGATGAACATTGTGTAGCCCTGCTACGTGCTCTAGGGATCGAGCAGTCTAAGGAATCGGACATAGGATTGTTGGCACGATTACGTGCGAGGTTACATCGATATTCTATCGATCAGGGACTGTTGTGCGATAGCACGGATGTGGAGGATCGCATTCACAACGGTCGCATCGTTGTACCTCACGATGAGAAGTTAAAGTTTCGGATCCTCTATGAGCCACATGATACTGCGTTGAGTGGTCATCTCGTTCGTGAGAAGACCTATGGCTCAGTTAGCCAATGCTATTGGTGGCCTAAACTATACAAATGGGTGAGCACATATGTGCGTACGTGTGAAACGTGTCAACGGGTGAAACCCTAACCTTACGCGGCCGCGCCGCTGGCTAGTTTGCCTACACTCAAGGGATGTTGGGAGTCCATCAGTATGGACCTCCTGTTCGGTTTATCGAATGAATCGTATGGAAATACGGGTATTGTGGTCTTTGTTGACCGTTTGAGCAAGATGGCTCATTTAGCGGCGGTGCCAGATACCATTGATGGTGAAGGTACAGCGACGCTGTTTATCGATCGCGTGTTTCGACAACACGGTTTGTCGTTGGCAATTGTATCTGATAGAGATCCGCGCTTCACTGGAAGGTTTTGGAAGTCCATCTTCAAAGTGCTCGTCACAGATTTGGACATGTCCACAGCGGATCGTCCGCAGACTGATGTTCAAACCGAGCGAGTGAATCGCATCATCGGTACATCTTGCGCACTGTTCGCGCTGAAATGCCATAGCGTTGAAGTTTGATGCTCCCTGTCGTTAAGTTTGCGTTGAACAACGCCGTGCATGCCTCCACCGGCTACACACTGTTTTATGTGAATGGTATCACACACCCTCGCGTTCCGTTAACGCTACCACTACGTGGTTCAGGGCTTGGTGGGGGAGGAGTTGCCGATCGGCTTGCTGATATCAGCCCTGCTACTGTTCACAAACAGGTACGTGAGTTTCTCGTAACGCTATTGAATGTCGTACGACATGTGCGCGACGCACTGGCTGATAGCAAAGACAAGCATAAGGAACAAGCTGATGCTGCTGGCCGAGGTTGTATCGAACGTTATGAGGTCGGAGAACAAGTTCTACTTAATGCTAAAAACCTACCTAAAAATGTAGTTTCCGCCGTCTTCAAGACAAAGTTGCGCCCGCGCTTCATTGGACCATTCATGGTCGTCGCGAAGAAGGAACTTGCGTACACGCTCAACCTTCCGCGCAAACTGCGCACACACCCTGTGTTCTACGTTGGCTTGCTTAAGCCGTATCGGGATCCGTCCCACGTGAACTTAAAGGCGCTTGCATCGGGTAGGTTGGCCTTGCCATCGGTTGCTGAATCCGTATCAAGAGGTCAATCTGAGCCTCCATCCGGGCTTGGCCCAACTCCAACGTCTGGACGCGGGCTCTCATCGCGTCAAACGCACTCTGGGTCTTACTTAATGTCTGACAAAGACCACTCATCTCGAGAAGCATCTTCTCATGATACTCCTTCGGTATACCGACCACCTCCTACTCTGCTCGATGAGCAAGGGAACCGCCAGTTCCATGTGGAGCGACTCCTGAAATGACGTCGTCGTCAGGGTCAATACCAGTATCTGGTGAAGTGGCGAGGGTACCCGGAGTCGGAGAACTCGTGGGAGTTTGAGAC